GGTCCTCGATAAGCGGGAGAGGGGCCGGGCGGGCTTCCGGGCGTTCGGTGGTGGTGTCTTCTCCCGGGCCTCAGGGTGCGGTAGGGCCCTGTCAGGGTGGGAGTGCGCTGCCTCGTTCCTTCCCGGGTACGGGATTGGGGTGGGGAACTTGGTCCTGGCGGCACCCGGTTCGTACCGCTTGGGCGGGGCGGGCCTCTCCTCAGGGCTGGCGGGGTTTGTGCCGCGTCGCTTTCCTGGCTTCGCGTTAGAAAGACGGGTGGAGGTGGGAATCCGTGGTGTGGTGACAACGCGCCTTCCTAGCGCTGTTTTAAAGCGACACCGGAATGCTATTTGATAGTGCTGCCAGTAGATCTTTTTTAAAAAAAAATTATTTACCAGCACTTAAACATTTGCAGAATGGAGAAATACATACATTTACCCCAGTATACATTCTACTAACTATATTGGGGTAGATGTATGAGGCTTGCATCATTTTGCATCCTTTTCTGTGCATAGATGTGTCATGCAAACACTTGAAGGTATTCCTAATTTTGTATTAGTGAATAGTTATGTTACTAATGCTTAACCTGGTATCTCTGTTATCAAGCTTAATGTAAAAGCATTTATAGATCCCTTGTCTGTTGTAGAACCACTTCTGCGCTTTCTTTACTGACTTGGATTTGCTTAAAAACCAGTAAAATTAAGCTTTTATTCACGCAGCCCATTCACACAGTTTTTCATACCTGTGTTCTAAATCTTTGTTAAGTTCTGAAGTGGGTGGGGTTTTTTTCATGTTTTGTTTATTGTTGACCTTCTTATCTGTATTTAATTGAGTTAGTTATATAGCAAAACTTACAGAATTTTTGTCTTTAAAAGATCCACCAGTTTCTTATCAGTGTACAAAAAGTTTTGGGGAAAAAAACTGATAATGCATGGTTTTTACAGGTTTTTTTGACTTTCACAGTTGTACTTACTTTGCCTTGCAATTTACAGTAATCCTATTAAATCTTTTAATACATCTGTATTTTGACTTCTGCAACTGTATGTAGAAAGATATGTAGCTTACATACTGCTAAGTTATAGCATGCCAGTATTTAAGCTGTTGAAGTAAAAGATAGATGTTGTGTTGGTACTCTCCTTGCTGTTTTCAGTCCCATAGTTGGCTCTGTAGCTGTACAGAATCCTATGGCAAGATCAGGTAGCCCTATCTTTGGTGCCTAACATTTCTTTCAAAGCAGTTCCTTCAAACAGCTTCAGAACTACCTTAGGAATGGATGCTGTCACCATATCGTAGTTCTGTTTGTTTGTTTTAAATCTTTAGTATTTATTGAGAATGTGTTAAGTGAAAGAAATGTGGAAATAGGAATGTGATTTTTTTTTTTTAATTATTATTTTAAGACTTCTCAGAGTTCTGGTTTTGGTAAGCTAGTGTCGTTTCCCTTTAATGATACCTCCTTTAAAGGAAAGCTGCTATCTTAAACCGGCAAACAAAAACACGCACAGTGATGTGATTTCTGTTGATCAGTGTTTCAGCCATGTCTGACAAAAGTGAACTGAAGGCGGAGTTGGAGCGTAAGAAGCAACGATTAGCTCAAATCAGAGAGGAAAAGAAAAGAAAGGAGGAAGAAAGAAAGAAAAAAGAAGTAAGAAATAATTTTCTCTTTGAAATTTGACTGTTTGCATGTGTAACTTGCCCAAAATTTAAGGGTAGGTTTATCATTTGCTTAATCATTTGCTACATGTTATTCAGGGAGTGTCTAACGGTCGGTTGCTGATGCAAATGTAACACTTTCATTTTCTGATAAGAGCAAACACCTACTGTTTTCTTTATAATTATCCATATAGTAAGTTAGATTTTAATTTTTTTTAAAATCCTACACTTGCATAACGTTTGGATTTCTAAAACTACATGTGTGCATGGGACATAATTAATCAAATCACTGTAAAGTATTGCATAAAAGCTCTGCTTCATGAGTTGTGATCGTGTTGTTTAGAGAACTCATTTCAAGTGCAGTTCCGAGATATCCATGTGAATTGTCTGACTGTCAGTATTATTATTGTACAAACAATGTGCTACATTCTTCTGCTCTTTGACTCATCTTTAGCTTCAATTTTAACATCAGAGCAACACTTGGGATGTATATGCTACTTGTGTGTTAGACTTGGTTTGTTAACAGTCTTCTGGATTTCTCTCTGCTGAAGTATGTGACAATCAGTGATTTATTACTATGTTTCTCCTGAGTGCCGATTATACCTCATAAAATAAACTTTTGCTGGAATGTTTTGGAGTACTTTTTCAAGGCTTCTCTATGTTTTGGTTAAGATCTTGTAGGTGTTCTAAATTAGCGTATGACTGAAGACTGAGCAGCTGCCAACTACGTGATTCAGACAAAAAGGAGAGGGAGATATCTCAGATTATGTTCTGATGATCTTGTAATAATGCATTGCCTGTATCTGAGATTCTGCATGTGATGCAATAGTTTATCAGTTGAGACTTTGATCTGAAATTTGGGAATTGCTTTTTTAAAAGGAATTGAGTAGTAGATTAGAAGCATAATGTGCAGTCATGCAAGGAGCAATCTTTAATCATGGCATAGGGATAGAATAGCTTGGTCTAGATTTTGCTGCTTCTGTTAAAGACTTGTATTTGTATCATTAATTTATATTTACAAAAATATTCACTTGCCAATGACTGAGTTGTGAACACCTTAAGCTGTGACTTTTCAACATCTTTCACAGTCGAGCTTGTGTTATTTCTAAATTATGAGGATGGGGGTGTATTTTTTTTTTTTTGCATGAAATCTAGCAGATTATAACACAACTTAAAGAAAACTACTTAAATGCCTTGCATTGTAAACTTTAAGTTCCTGCAAAGTTTTTGGGTTTTTTAAGACTCTCAATTTTTTTTAAACCTGAGGTTCAAAGGAAAGCTTTCTCACTAAACAGCTTGTTGGTGTTTTTGATTTAAAAAATAGCTTACAATGTACAAACAAACATCACTTTTATATCTTATACATATTTTCTTAATTGCTACACACTTTAGTATGTCCTCTATCTAGCCAAGCGTCCTAATAGTTTCTTGACCAAAGCAGGGTATCTCTTACTGTCATTCTAACCATATAGTGTTTTCTTTGACATGGTTAATCTCATTTCAAAACTGGAAAAATATGGCTGTGTCTTTAAAATACTTTTATACACAGGTAAATTTTTTGTCTTTAAATTTTACAGCACTTTTTCACATTAATGCTATTAATCTTATGAAGTGTTGGTCATTTTGACAAATGAGAAGAGACTTTTTGCATGTTATATATGTCTTTTTAAGACAGCACCAAAGCTACAAAACTTTGTGATTCCTGTCTGTAGTTTACGAAAGGGCCATCAGAATTACTAGAGTTAAATACCTAACCTGTATGATGATAGGTTTCATTAGCATAAAAAAAAACTAAAAAAAAAAAATTTTAATACCTGTTAAATGCCATAGCTTAATTATTGAATTCTTTTTAGACTGATCAGAAGAAAGAAGTTCTTCCTGTACAAGAAGAATCTGATCTTGAAAAGAAGAGAAGAGAAGCTGAAGCATTACTTCAGAGCATGGGGTTGACACCTGAGTCTCCTGTTGGTAGGAATGTTAATATTAGTTTGAGATAAATGTTTGGGAGTTTTTGGTTTGGGGTTTTTTGGGGGGGGGGGGGGGGGGGGGGGGTGTTATTTGCTTGTTTTTTTAATGGTGGTGGCTTTTTGTTTGGTTGGTTTTTGTTAGGATTGTGGTATTTGTATAACTAGCATAAACATTCTCTGGCCACTGTTTTTTGGGGTATACGTGTCTGGGTTTTGTACTATTGTCATGCATGATCTCAGTTATAAATGTCAGGTGATGTGCTTCAGTACACATTAATAGTACTATTTTGTAAAGATGTGTTTTACACTCAGTGGATTATTTGGAGTCTTTTCGTTAAAATATATAAACATCACGTATTTGTTCTTTTTTTTTCCCTATTTTCCCCATGCATTATTCTTCTGTATTTTTTTCTTTTTTTCATAATGCCAAATTTTAATTATTTCTTCTTTTTTTTTTTTTTTTTTTTTTTTTTTTG